GTTGATACTGGTCTTGGCAATTTGGTATGTCATCAAAAGCACAGCAACAGAAGAAAAGAACAAAAGAGTGGGACTGCATCAAAGTGAACAGCTTCTGTACAGTAAAGGAAAAACATGACATTTAAAAAAATCCTACAAAATAGAAAAACATTTGCAAGCCATATATCTGATAGTTAATACCCAAAATGTGTAAGAAACTTCTGCAATTCAAAGCAAAACAATAATGATGATAACCTATTCAAAAATAGGCAAAAGGTTAGTTGTTTTGTTTTTCCCACAAAGAAGACATACATACAAGGGAAATCCTGTATGCCATTAGTGAGATATAAATTGATAAAGTCATCATAAATATCAGTAAAAAATAAAAATGGAAGTATGAATACCACCTCTGGGTATACTACCAAAGGAAATAAAATTAGTACCTCAAAGAAATATCTTCAGCCCCATGTTCATTTTAGTTTTGTTTAAAATAGTCAAAAACATTTATATATACACACACAGTAGAATACTATTCAGCCATAAAAGAGAACGAAATCTAGCCATTTACAACATTGATAGACCTTGAAGACATTACGCTAAGTGAAATAAGCCAAACACAAAGAAACTGCACGTTCTCAGTTAGATGGGGGGAATCTAAACATGTAAACTCATAGGAACAGAGAATAGAATGGTGGTTGTTAGTGCCTGAGGGTGGGAATATGAGGAGATGCTGTTTAAAGAGTACAAATTTTTAGTTATAAGTTGAGTAAGTCTGAGAAAGCTAACGTACATTAGCATTAGATTAGCAAAACACCATTGTCTTTACAGTAATACTGTAATGTATGCTTATAATTTGCTACAACAGTAGACCTTAAATATTCTTATGACCAAAAAAATGGTTATCTATGTGAGGTAACAGATGTGTTCATCAACTTGACAATATTTTGTTTCAAAATGTATATGCATATCAAATCATTACATTGTACAAATTAAATATAGAGTTATACAATTTTATCAGAAAAATCCATATCACACAAACCCAGATATATCTAAGTCCTCATTTAGTGTTCAAAATAGGTTCTTGAAAACTGCATCTTTAAATGAAACAATGTTGCTATATGCCATTTAAACATAACTTGTTTTTATCAATTAAACTCTGGTAAAATTAGTTTTCTTAAACAATATGTTGCTTTACTTAGTTTCCAAGAACCTATCAACAATGTTAAGTGAGAATTTCCCATACACATATATGACTTATATAGGTATGTGTATGTGTGTGACACATAGTTCTATACATAGATGGATTATAGTTCAATGACAGAATCCCAGTAGGCTTCCTACTAAATAACACAAAATTATAAGATAATAGTTTATTAAGAAATAAGGTTAACAAATGAGAGCTTAACATACACTTAGGAATGTTCTAAGCTGGTTAATGACATAGTGCATTTAAGAAATCTAGAAGTTAGGCTGGGCGTGGTGGCTCACGCCTGTAATTCTAGCACTTTGGAAGGCGGAGGTGGGCAGATCACTTGAGGTCAGGAGTTCAAAACCAGCCTGGCCAACATGGTGAAACCCCGTGGCAGGTACCCGTAATCCCAGTTACTCGGGAGACTGAGGCAGAAGAATCGTTTGAACCCAGGAGGTGGAGGTTGCAGGGTGGCGGAGGTTGCACTGAGCCGAGGTCATGTCACTGCACTCCAGCCTTGGTGACAGACCAAGACTCCGTCTCAAAAAAAAAAAAAAAAAAAAAAAAGAAAAATCTAGAAGGTGAGTAGATACTTTAAACCAATGGTATCCAATCCTTTGAGTGTGAGGACTTTTTGCGGTATCACAAAAATTATTCACAAACCTATTTCTTGTTTCTTAGCTCATCAGCTATCATTATTGTCTGTGTATTTTATAATTTTAAGTGTGGCCCAAGACAAATCTTCTTCCAAAGTGGCCCAGGGAAGCCAAGAGTTTGAAAACCTGTGCTTTAAACTATGTTATAATTTGAAAATTTGAATATATAGAGTTTAAATCACAAATTTCAGTTTATACTAAATAACATTTTGAAGTAAAATAACATTTTTTTCATGTTTGGAAAAATACTTATTGTTCTGATAAACTTCTGAGTAAGAGTTTTTGTAGAATTACATTTGCAAATTCTACAGGATTAAAAATCACTAAGCGGAAAAGATGCAACATCTGTCCTTCGTGTTCCTGGGATTTCTAAACCAAATCCCATTATGTCCACTACTCACCTTACATATTTTAGGCCTGATGCAAAAATAATATTTGAAAAAATACTTTAACATAGAGGTCTTCAATAATACAAATACTCCTATGTCTCTAAAAGCAATGCAACAGCAGTCAGATCATGCAGCCCCTTACAAGCGATAAAGTGGACACTGGCTCTCCCTGTAAACTTGAATGGAGATCACTGAAGAAAAAAAGGAAATTCTTAGAAGATTTAAGAGCATGGGACAGAAGATGACTCTATTTGTGAATAAGAGAAAAAATGCAGCCTTCTCAGAAATTATTTTCATTGGCACAGTTTCCCAAACTACATTTGAAGGCCTGGCTTCCTTCCTGACCTTTTGCCTCCTTGCCTGTGTCCTCTCCTTCATTCACTCTCACCTACCTGGGGGTTTGGCTGCTGTCTCATGTAACTTCAAGTTGTAGGGCTCTTTTATTTGCTCCAGACAGGTGACCAGGTCTGGGTTGGAGATCACAAAACCTGTTTTATTAAAAAAAAAAATTAACATGACTATTGCTGGGGATACTCCAATGACCAATCTATTACTATGCTAAGTAGAATAAAGAAATTTAATCCAAAAATTGTTTCCTGACAGAATCTTTAGAATACTTAAATATTTTAAATCTGCGGGTTCTAAGTTCCACTACCCAGTACTACTGAATCAAAAATAAGTGGTGCAAATTGGATTTTAAGATGTGGAAAACAGTATTTTACATCACTGAATTTCTAGAATTACTACTATCCTAGAGTGAAGAACACAAATTAGTTCAAGAAAAGAGAAGGTTTATGCAATGAGGAAACATCCTAAAGATTTTTTTTTACACCAGCAAATTCCCAATTTTTTTCTTGTAGAAAGGAACTGAAAATTAATTAATGCAAAGCAGAAGCTCCCAAGAGACATTCTACAAAGAAAGAAAATGAAACTCTGACAAAGTACTAGGAATTGCGTATTAAAAGTTATCCTTACCCAGGGAGACCAGGTTTCTGTAGTTCTCCAACATCACGTCTTTATATAAATTCTGCTGGGCAGGATCCAGGCATTTCCACTCTTCAGGGGAGAATTCTATGGCCACATCCCTGAATGTTAAGAGTTCCTGAAAACACATATTTATCATGTGACAGAGTTCTTAATTTGACCATAAGTGAAATAAGAGAACTAGTTGTGACTTATGGGACTGACTGGAATTATCTGATAAAATGACTTTTAACACAGTAATGTTATCTAAAGTATTCTATAACTCTGAGGAAAAAGGAGGGCATGCCAGCAATGTTTGTTGCTGCAGTAGAAATATAGGCTACACTCACCTGTCCCTACCAAAACGGAGCAAAGCAGGTCCTATGACCTCCTGGAACAAAAGGTGAACTCACGTCTCATTAAAGTATGGAAGCCCTCATGCTTGACCCTGGCCTTGCTGTTAATGTCACACAAGAAACTTAACAGGATCTGTAGGGAGGGAACAGGTGACTGTTTCTCTTCAAACTGCCATGTGATTCTACTGGAAGACTGGGCTGAGGGTCACTTAGTTAAACATTGCCTCTCAAGCTTCAATGTGCATATAAATTTGGTATTCTAGGCCTCACTGTAAGTTACACAATTTTGCAGGTTTGAAAAGGGTCCACGAATTAGCTTTTTACAGCAAGTCTCCCGTTAATGCTGATGCTCCTCCCCCTAGATCCATTACAGTACCACTCAGCTAGAGAAAGCAGACACAGCAGAGTCCCTTACGCCAACACCCTTATCACAATACAAATACTTTTCATCTGAAGACAAGACCAGCAATCATCATCCTGAAAGATGGCATTCTCTGCAAGCTCTTTAAAGGTTACAGAGGCTGGAGATGGTTGCAATGTCTGAGTAAGTCTGCATTTGAAAAACAGCACATCCACATGCATTAATGCGATATTTATGGAGCATGTACTATGTGCTCAGGAGTTTGTAACAGAGCACTGTGCTGGGAAGCTCATATGATGTGTGCTAATTCTCATAGCATCCTGGGAGGTGGGTACAAAGTGTGTCATACTTCCCAGGATTTAAATGCAAGGTCCCAGCATTTTCTGTTTTTTCTTGTTTTCCTATCGGTGATTTAAAAAAAAATACATAGAATAATAGCTCAATGTAGATAAATGGGACAGACATAGAAGAAAATTTTAAGTACAATTCAGGAATTTTTTATTTTTGTGTTTGTAGTTACTATGAGACTTGTGAAAAATCCACTGAAACTGCAAAGATGGAGAACAGGTTGCTGGATGGGATGTCTCTAGAAATACTGGTTTTAATTTTTTGTAAAATAATTTAAGGCCCCAAAGTACATTGCTTTTCCCCATTTATCTGCTTTTGGGTTTCAGGAAATTGGGAGCACCAGCTCTGGAGACAGTACGAATAGCTACCCCAAACTCTCATCTTCTCTAAGCAGTTCTGTGAGGCATTGCAGTGTGGGGTCAAACCTGGACAAGGTTCAGTAGATGGTGGATCTGGGCAGAGTTGGGACAGAAAATGGGCCCTAGGCTTCTGCTTTCTAGGCCACTAAGTAGTTTCAGTTTTGTCCTTTCTAAGCCCGTCCAAGAGAAATTTGATTCCCAGAGTTTGTGTAATTTTTATCTATTTTGCCACTTCCCCATCTGTAACATACAATAACAAGGAATTTAACCAAAACCCTTTTGTTTTTCCCGACCAATTATATTTGAAGCTAAATATTTATTCTTAGCAAGGCAAACACAATACAAATAATGACTTCTCTTTTGTCCATAAACAGCCCTGCAGGTGGTGGCATCAAAACTCACCAAACAATAAAAGGGAAGTAACCCAAATGAAGCTTAAGTCTCCTGTACAGTTTTCATCTTTGTACTGAATACATGACAGTGAATTTAATCATTTATTCATGTGCTCTAGAATGCAAGTTCCTTGATGGAAGGGACCATGACTATTTCATCTCTTTTCCTAATGACCATATGAAACACTGACCCCAGTCTGCACAGGACATCCTCAAATGTCTCAAATACTCACTGACGCTGCTGAGAGTGTCCCCAGTGACCCTGGGCTGATGCCCCCGTAGTGATCCAGGCAGGAGAGACTCAGGCTGACTTTGTGGGGTGCAAACAGAAAATGGAACTGCCCTGATGGAGCTGCAGATCCTGGATCCGGATGTGATATCCCCTGTCCCTGATCAGCTAACTCAGGCAGGGGAAGGACAAAAGTACTCTAGTAACACAGGGAGGCATAGTTGGGATTATGGCTCTGGATATTTAGCGGCCTTGACTTCCCACTGCTAAGGTGCTTGTTTACATTTACAGATTCTGTCACAGCATTGTGTTCACACCAGAAGCCTCTTACACAGCTGTAGGTCACTGGACAAGATCCAGAAAACTCAAAGGGCTCCACTCTGAAAGTGGGGCTTAAGATGTCTATGTTGACCTCTCATGATGCAGAAAACACCTTCTGTGACTTTTCTGTATCTCTTCAACCCAGTCTGGCCCTGTCTTGTGACTCTTAGGCAGAGGCCAGCTTTTACGTGCAGATTCTAGGTGAGATCAATGTGTGCTGCGTTCTTGAGTTACAGGAAGCAGAGTAAAATCAGAGGAAAGACCTCATGAAGCCTCCTTCAACACATTCTAAAGAATATTTTGAGCTAAAAGGAAAAAATTGGGGTAAACATAAGTCCAAAGGTTGAGCCAAAGCTTGAAGACTGCAATCCTGGAGTATAAAGTTGCCCTGAATATACACTCCAATTAGAAGCAGTTACAAGCATATTTTTAAAGGCAAAAAGGAAGCCAGAGAGCAGACTGATAGAAAGGTGTCAGATATTCTTATTGGTTTATAGAAGTAACATCGGTTAGTGATTGGTCATATATATAGTTAAGCTATAGGATATGGGTTATAGTGTCCAGCGTGGCATTATTAGGTTAATTTACAGACACCTGTGGCAATAGCAAGCAATTTCAAAAGACAAATAGTTCAAGGAGGGGAACAGTATGTGAGTGTGCTCTCTTTTTAACACATCTCTGGGTCTGATACATTTAAAAACTTATATTTCTCAGATAAAAGTTCTTTTATCAAATTCCAGGACATAAATTCAGAATCTAGAACTGCACATTTAGGTCTTGGAGGGCTGGTGAGCTATGCACATTTGTGGGCATTTGGGGAAGGGGAGGTGGGAGGGAGCAGAATTTCTCAGGTTTAATCGATGCGTATGTGTGATTCTGGTTAGGTTTATGGGCCCCAAATCTCTGAAATCAGTGTCAGAATGGAAGATGCCAGGAGCACTGAAGGAGGTGAAATAACTGATTACTGTCCTGAAAAGTTATTTTTGTAGAAATTTAGTCTAACTGCTCTAGAAAGGACTGTAGATCCCAAGAGAGAGACCATTCTGTTTGCAGATTTGGGAAACACTTTGCCGCACAATTTTAGGTTGTGACTGGAATCTTAAGAAAGAATGTTTTCTGAAGTGAAGACTGCTGGACATTTTGTGTACAACATCTGGTAATTCTGGACAGTGTGTGGAAAATATAACTAAAAGCTAAAACATCTGCAATCCTAAAAAAGTCTCCACAATAACAGAACCGCAAGAAAATGTTTTGTTGTATAATTAAATCAAAATGTGATGTGCATCACAAGCAATCTAAGAGAATGCAAACACAGAAAGTCACCATAATTAAATCTCAAGTAGAAGCCTTGAAAGCACCATTTGTTATACACGATTTATTATAATTTCACCTTGTAATCTGAGAGGTCATCTGGGTTTTCTAATTTTTTCTAATAATTAAAGAAAAAAAAATCCACATCTTCATGACAGGATGTAGATTTGCAATGTGGCTAGGTACCTGCTGAAGGCAGCCTCCTAGTCTCCTACAGAAACTGTGAAATAGGGTGTATGTTCTTGCTATTTACATTTCAAAGCAATAGTTCCCAGGTCCCAGATGAAGGCAATTTGGAGCCAAAAAAGACAAATGACCTATTTAACTGATAAAAAATGACTTACATATATTTCAAAGAAGCAGAGAAAATATTTAAATATAAAAGTTCTCAAACTAAATGCTTTAAGAAAAGGGAGAAGAGCAAAAATTCTTCCCTCATTCTAAAGAGAAAGCATTAAGCCTCTTCTAATTTGTGTTTGCTCCTACAACATCCAGGCCTAAAGACCTTGTCTTGAACTCACTAACGTCTGAATTCTCATAGGCACCTGAGGGATGGACACCGTAGAGAATTTGTGGGGAAGTAAAAAGTAGAAGAGAGAAAGAAGCTATCAAGAGCCATGGGTGGCAGCAGGGCAGGACTGACTAAAGCACTGGTTTGTACTACAGGTACAGGCTGAGGCAGGGCTATGCTCTGATTCCTGTATCTATAATGACAGAAGAGATTAGGATCAGGTGGTCCAGAAGGCTGGGTAGGTGAAGGAAGCAAGTTCCTGCTACAGATCCAGTGTCCGCGGTTGAGATGAGCCAGGAGACTTCTGGGCACTGCGTGTGTTTTTGGCAGAAAACGCTAGGAGCAAAGCAGCCATGGGCACAATTCCTGAGGGTGGAACCCTGTACTGGGAGGAGTGGGGCAATGCGAATACCCGGTGGGCGCGCTCAGGAGTGGGTTAGCATTGGATGGGGGCTGGCAGCAGGGTGAAGGGAAGGGATGTTTGTCAGAACTCCTCCTTTCCTCTGAGTTCTCAGTCCCCTCTCCCCGGGAGGAGACCTGGAGGAACAGGACAGTGCCCAGCGGGACAGCGCATGTGCAAAATCCAGTCGCGCCTCCCGCAGACACCAGGCATCTTCCTCCAGCCCAGGCTCAGCCATGTCTTTCTTCTGACAGAAAACCTGCGGAGTTTCCTCAACACCCGTCAATGCTCCAACCCCAACGGGCTGTCCAGTAACTCACTAACGACCCCACCCAGAGTCAGCGCAGACCCACAAGCTCAGCGCTCTTCCCGCAACTGCCCCCCTGCAGACGCCAGTCCCTGCCTCTGGACACCCGTCTTCATTTCTGAACGCCTGCAACAAACCAGGGGCGCCCGCACTCTCCTCAAGTTCCATAATGTGGCAGAACCACTCACAGAACCCAGCGAAGCGCTG